GGGGGCAAATTTGAAGGGGACGTACGACGCATTGATGGGAACCTATTAAAAGCTTTGCCGGCTGATCTTTTGCAGCGCAGTCCTTGGCTGAGGGTTCTGGACCTTAGCGAGAACGAATTGAGGGCACTTCCAGCACAGATATTTGGACACACCCCATTGCTGCAGACGCTTGACCTGGGTTCCAACCAGCTCACAGAGTTGCCCTTAGACGTTTTCGAGGGTTTGAGCAATTTGCAGAAGCTTGACCTGCAACGCAACTCGCTCAGCGAATTGCCCTCAGATGTCTTTGCAGGCCTGAGCGAGTTGCAGATGCTTGACCTGCTACGCAACTGGCTCAGAGAATTGCCCTCAGGCATTTTTGCCAGCTTGAGCAATTTGCAGAAGCTTGACCTGGGACACAACAAGCTCAGAGAGCTGCCCTCAGACGTCTTTGCCGGTTTGAGCAAGTTGCAGACACTTGACCTGGGATTCAACTGGCTGGGTGAGCTGCCTGCGGAAGTGTTTGTAGACATGTTTTCCGGCCTGAGCCGTCTCGGCCATTTGCAAACACTTGACCTTTGTGGCAACTTCCTCAGTAAACTGCCTCCCGACGCTTTAAGAAGAGCGTTTGCAAGCCTGAGCAATGTGCAAACACTTTTTCTATGGGGCAACTTCCTCCGCTCCCCGCCTGCTGAAGGGCTTGCAAATGTCTTTGCTGGCCTCAACCATAATGTAAAGACAGTGGATTTGGGTTTCAACTTTCTCGGTGCGCTGCCCTCTGAAGTCCTTGCAGATTTGTTTGCAGGCCTCGGCAATTTGCAGAGTCTCAGCCTGCAGGGCAACTCCCTTGGTGACGTGTCTACAGAAGTTCTTGAAGCCTTGTTCGCAAACCTCACCAATTTGAAGACACTTGATTTGCGGCACAACTCACTTCGCGAAGTGCGTGTTGAAGTGTTTGCCCGCCTCAAAAACTTGCAGAGATTGGAGCTCGGTTATAACTCGTTTGGTGAATTACCGTCAGAAGTCTTTAGGAAGCTGTTCGCAGACCTCAGCAACTTGCATACCATCACCGTTTGTAGCGGCCAGGCTGCTCCATGTGCCGGCTGCGGCCTGTTGCCAACACAGCAGATTGTTCTCAATAAATATTGCGAATTGCATTCACGCCTACTCGCTTCCGCGATCAAGACTTGTCTCGAGCTCTACCATCGCTATTTATCGAACCAAAGTTCGCCCAAGTTGCAAGAGACTTTGCATGCCAAACTAACTGTAGTAAGGTCTTTTCACTTGAAACAAATTGTAATTATGTAGGACCAGCGGTGATCACACGATGATGAGAGCTTCAGAAGAGATGTTTCAAAAAGAGGAGACCGAGGGCGATATGATGACCGGAATGTGCAGCGGTTGCGAAAAGCTTCAGCATGTCATGGCGATGCTTAACACAGCAACTGACGACCCAAGTGGACAACTCTTGCCAAGGCTGTTCAAGGCTGGAGCAAGTTCATGGGATTGCAGGCGCTGGACTTCAGACAGCTTTTACTTTGGTGAGGTGTCTTCCGAATTCCGAATCAGAGGATGTTTCCGCTGATGTTTCTGTTTAACGACTTTTTTCAGGAAGATGAGTCAAAATTTTCCTGCTGAAAGCCAACAAGCTGACTTCGCGAATGTGTCGAGTAAAAACTGACAAAAGATCCCAGATGTTTTTTCCCGAAAGCATTGCGAAGGGTTCTTCCGGAAAATCCCTTGAACACTGACACTTCGACACTTACACTTACACACTGACACTTCCACCACATTTGCACTACATACACTGACACTTCGACACTTACACTTACACACTGACACTTCCACC